GGGGGGGGGGGGGGGCTTCAAACTCAGTGCCAAAAGAAATCATTCGTTTGCGGACAAGGGATGTTTGACGAGTTCATTTATTAAAAATGAATAGTTTTGTTGTGAAGTTATACTGATTGACACCGATTTCATCTTAACAAAATAGAAGCCGAAGCAAACGGACTTTCAGTATCTATCATCAATACTTGCAGATATAGATGAATGCAGTCAGGACGCCTGTTCGGGCATGACCAATTCCGTCTGTGCAAACGCAGAGGGAAGCTACGAGTGTAAATGCAAAAAAGGCTTTCGAAAGAGCGATGACGAAAGTACCTGTGAAGGTATGAAAAAGAACTCCAACAGAACTTTTCGTTACAGATTAAACGTTGCTTTGAAGGGATTAAGACATGAAACGTAAATTCCGAATTCAACCCGTATAAAGTGCGGGGCCAGTAGGTTAGAGTTCAGGGATTGGATTAAAAACATCCTGCATAGATATGAGGCACTAATAAAGTCGCCAAACGTCTGCTACGGGCCTGCCCAGTTGCAATTGTCGCTGTTAAAGTCTTCAAAGAGCTAGGAACTCCATTTCGGGAGAAAAGTTAAGATCTTCACTAACATACTGGATGATACTTTCAGCGATAAAAATCAATTTTTGTTACGTAAAAATTATTTGACCATGCTCACCGGTGGAAAGTCTGCTGGGTTTGTGAATGCGCACTCGCACAATAGGTCACGTGGCTCTAAAGTTTTGCTTATGCACAAGTCATTTCAAACCGAACCACAAGTGAAATCCCCGCCAAACCTCCGCTCAGTCCCCGCATTGTATAGCGAATCCGTGAAAAAAAGTGCATTCCCCTACTACCGGGGAACCTAAATTGAGTGAAAACAAGGTGAAAGCCCTCGGTTTGCCCCAAATATTCCCCAATCGGGGGGAGGGGGGGGAGGCGGGGGATTCAAATGACTGGTTCATTACTAATATATTCTTACATCGCAGCTGGCGCAAATCAAATTTGCCAAGAAGGAGTATGTTCATGTTCCCTCGGATTTGCCAAAAACAATGACGAGGAATGCGAAGGTAAGATCCTGCATTTGTGGTTGTACAGTAATTTATATAACTGCAGTGTGAAAGATTTTTGGTGATTCCTTCCTCACTTTCGGAAAGAGCGTTTGCCTTTGACTAAGAGTATAAGTAACATCTGTTTCGGGTTTTGAATCTTCTTCCCTAGCGGAGTGGGTGGTAGGCCACCGTGGGTGGGAGTGGAATGTGTAAGGTTTGGCCACATCAGTTTTCTTCATAAAATTGAAATGATATCGCAAGAAATTTCCTTCATCCTTGCAAAAATTGGTTTTACCTGATCAGTGTTAATGAATAAATAAACCTCCTTTTGTCGCGAAAATGTGCATGGAATTTTTCATTGGGTATCTCAATCTCACGATTTCCTTGCTAAACTAAGAAACTAGCAGATGACGTCGGCAAAAATGGAAATTTAGAGGCAAGATGATAAGTTAGGATATCAACACCGCTTCCTCCCTCGAGTGTAGATCTGAAGTTACTTAGTAATTTTGAGGAGATAAGCCGATTTTCAAGTCGAGATTTTCGTTTCAGATGTGGACGAGTGTTCTCAACATGAAACTCCATGCGGTGCTAATGAAGAATGTTTAAACGAACAAGGGACGTATTCTTGTGTGTGCCTATCAGGATATAAGAAACAACACAAAGTTTGCGTGAGGAAAGGTGAGCGTTCAATTAAATTATCAACAATAGACCATTTTACAATTGTCTGTTCAGTGACCTGGCCTTTGAATAGCAGCGAGGCTGCAGATGACCCTGTTTTGATAAAGACCTCACTGCTTTTGTTGTGTAAACCAAGTTTTTCTTATGCTAACTAGATGCCATTTAAATGAGAAAATCAGAGAGGTCTGTATCACAACAAGGTCATCTCCGGCCTCGCTTGCGTTCAAAGGCCAGGTGACTAAACACACAACTCTAAAATGACCTATTTGCACCGAGGAACCAATACACCGGTCGCCTTCCATTGCCAATATTGTTAACCTAATAGGTTGGTTAATTACATTACTTGTACATTTTTTTTCCTCTTTCACCTAAAGCATATCTGACAATAATCATTTACTGAAGAAGCCACAATGACTTATTTCGCCCAATTTATGGGTTTTTATTGAAGTCGTCCATAATTCAATTCCAAGAAATTTCGCTGAAATCAGCTTAATACCAAGCAAATAGCAACACGGAACACTTTATTTTCATGGTGTATTGCCAACTGTAATTTGAGCAGGGTTCTTGCCGCCTGAAGTACCCTAGACGCAAATCAGGAAAGCGACGTGCATCAAAGACAATGAACAATTATTGGACGAGGTTGAGCAAAATATCGGAATATTTCAGTGGCGAGCAGATCAATTATTTGCGGAAGCTGAAAGCTGAGGCAGACATCGTGATCTGCGAGACTCGCCCGAGAATTCTTCTCATTTCTAAAGGGGATAATTGAACCATGCGCTAAATCAAGTAATCCACATTACCTTTTTTAACTCGTTCCTTAGACAAATGTAACTGCAAACAGCACGAAGTATGCCTCCAGGGAAAATGTAAGTGCAAGGAAGGATACAAGAAGAGTACAAAAGGATACTGTGTCCCTCGTCGAAGTAAGTACTGCGTGGCATATGGCATATGCACAAGTTAAAGGAGCTCATTTATTTTGGCCGCCTACAAAATTAACTGAACATTAAAGGAAACCTGAAAATAGTAGTTTGCTAAGATAGGGCAACACTAAAGAGATTATGATAAGCCATTAAGGCCCGGAACAAGAATGTTTAAGGATGAAGAAGATTGAAACGGATTACAAACGACGAACTTGAGAAATTTGGCTAAACTGTTCAAGATGCAAAAACCATGACATATAGTGGTGGAACAATTGCATATAGAACCTGGGCCAAATCAGGGCTGGTTTTCACAAGGCGTCACTAAAATTCGAACTACAAAACTATTGATCTTCCTGAGATTTTACTTTGATGATCTATAAGAGCAGCTTAAAACTAATATTCATACAAATTTTCGCCCCAAATGGGTTCTTGGTTTTGTGATACACTACGATTGAATTTCTAAGCTTTTGCGTGACGCGGCATTTACATGACGGCCTGGAGAGCTGTCATGATGGTTAAAAAGGTGACTTATTTCGGGGAACTTGGCTATCTGAACAGTTCATGTCTTAGAAAAAGTATTATTTTAATGTTTTNAGAGTTCCTCGAGGGATAAATTCATGCTTTTGTAGCAAAACTCAGTGACAGATGTTTCTGTTGGTTTCCGGCCGCCATGTTGGTGCCCATACGGATGGACAACAGCATGGCGTCTCCATACAAATCTCTATAAATTTGGGTAAAGAATTTCTCCGCGTATCTCGCATAAGAAAAATTGTTGTGACCAGAAGTTTGGCGAGAGTCTTTGCATATTTACCTTCTTTCATTTTCCAGATGCTGGACTTTATCTATTGCCCAGTTTTGATTTTGATTTTGATCTATTTTGAATTGCGTGACATTGAAAACCAGCAATACCCTGGTTAGCAGTACAAGTTAAAAGAACTTCCTATTGTTTCAAATTGTTTCATAAGATATCTGAAATCCTCTCTCTTTTTCCACTTCTAGGTGAGAGTTTTAAGGTTGGTTTGGGCCTCTCGTTACGCGGCAACGGTTTTCCCAGCACCCTCTTTCTAGGCGTGCTTGGGCGCCTGGCCTTCACAGAGTAAATGGGACCGCGCCTTCTTGCTTCTACTGCCTTCTTTTTTTTTTCTCAACGATGCTTGACTTTTTCTGGTTTAGTTTCAATTTAACATGTCATCTAACATTGTCATATTTTATTTTCCAACATTACCATCCAATAAACTCACTTTGCCCTTCTGTGCACTTCCCATTTTTAATAATGTCTTCTTCTAGGAAAACTTAAGTTTATATGGGTTATTGATCAAGCGTGACAGGTCAAAATGGCTGGATATTTGCAAAGTTCGTTTTTGCGTGTTTATAGATCGAGACGAAGTCAAGGTTCATAACCACGCAAAAAAAGGAGCGAAGCCAATGTCCAGCCATCTTGACCAAACAAGCTTGGTCAATAAAGGAATTTTTATACGGAAAAAGTATACTGTTTTCATGCGGGACAGGGCGGGTAATCCTGAGTCAGTAATCACTAGATAATCAGCGTAGAACCAAATCAGTTTTCCGTTTTAGATTAAAAGGACGTTGACGTTCACGAAAGGCGTAGAAATCCTCACCAATACCGATTCAGCTGTTTACTTTGGAGAAAATAAGCTCATATTAGCATAACATAACTACAAACTGCCATGTGAAAGCGCAAACTGATTGGCTACACTGAATGGCGGCGAGCAACGAGCAATAAACTACGGTAGGAGCGAGCTAGCTTATCTTTTAAAACAGTTTCCATTTTCATTTTCGTTAGGTTTTTGTTGTGATACCGTTCAGTGGCTCGCTGTTTAGAAGTCTCGAGCTCCTTGCATACGGCGACTGCGCGCAAGGTACGAGCGTCAGTCAAAACCAAGCTGTTCTTCCGAAACGACAAGATAATAGTCTTTTTCTTAAAGAAATGATTGATCATCGCAGTCAAACATACAACTTTTTATCTCTTAAAATAAATTTTATCTCGCTAGCGTGAGAAAACTTACGTTAAAACCCTCGCAAGAATCGAGTGACAACTCTGTTAGCTGGAAGAGCTGTTTCTGACGGTTTTGCATGCAGGATGCTGGAAAAGTCTAATTTATCAAATTTTTGTTCTTGCCAAGAGTCATCAAGAGCTATGAACTGAACGGGAAAGCGTCGATTCTCTTTATTTCGCCTTTGAAAAGAAAGACCAGCTGTGGGAGATGGAATCACTGGGCTGTCCTTCTGCCGATTGCTCCAATTTTGCGGTGTTATCCGCCGATGCGACTTTAAAATACTAGCTAATCTTCCACCGCCTCATAGTTCGTAGCCGAAGCAGTTTTGGCACTGCTTGAAGTTACCGTGAGCTGTCCCTATAACACAGTATAATTCTGCAGCGTTTCTAATTTTGCGGCCATGACAACTTTTCCATTGAATGAAAGCGAAGAACCTTGAAGCCTGGTTCTCACATGCCGCCGACATACCTGAGACACGGCACGGCAAGGCCTGGGACACCGTAACGATACATGTGAGCATTTATCGCCGAATCATAATCTATCCCAAGCATTGCCCTTGTTAACAAAATGACGGCCGCTTCTTGGCGTTTTCGAAGGATCTGTGAAGAGGATTTACAAAAAGTTTTGAACGACTAGCAGATTTATACTACATCAATTAGATTATTCGCACTCGATTTCTGTGCGCCCTCGTCAACTTTCACGCGGTAGAAATCTCGAGCTCATAATCTAATTGCTTTATAGATAGAGAGTTGCATAGCCAATCAGAGAACGGCATTCTTGATAGAACACTAGTAGATTTATACTAAAACTGATAGAAACACGGTATATGTTTTCTATTTCTTTAATGCTTATCAGTTTCCCAGAGCAAATGAACATAGGCCTCGACTCTACGTTAATTTCTCTATCTACCTTTGATAAAAATATGACGGCTGTAACAACAAAGTGAGCGATGAGACTTAAAAATCTGGATGCAACAAGACTTCCGATGAACATTTTTGTATATTGAACTCGCAATCAGGAGGTAAATTATCCATCATAATGCCTGTAACGATCTGTTTGCCTGTAAGCCGCCATTTTATTTTCCTTTTTGGCCTCGCCTTGTGTACGTGTTTCGTATTTTTGCTTCCGTGCCGCTCAAATTCAAACTAGAATAAGAGCTACAAAACCATAAATTTGACTTTCAACTTACAGAAAACTGTCAGCCGCCTAAATAAACGAAGTGCAGCTTTTTTTTTTTTTTTGCGACTTGCGTGTACTGACTGTACTTGCGAGGGAACTTGCGAGTCCGTTTGGTCACCCAACGTAAGTCTCTACTCAAGTTCAGCTAGTAGCTACTTGCTAGTCCGTTTGGCCAGGGCTTTATAGTGAAACGTATCTTTTCCATTTCCCTCCTTTCTCTTTCTTTCCGTTCTTTCCTTTTTCCTTTCGTTTACTTTAATTTCCTTTTCTTTTCTCTCCTAGCCTTTGCTTTGCTTTTCGTTACGTTCTCCCCTTTTGGTAATTCTCTATCCAAAAGAAACAAACGCATTTTATTTTTTAACCTTGTTTCATAAGAAAAATAAAGGCGAAGCTAATTTTGAGGCGAGTGTTACGATTCGATGACGTCAAGGTACTTCAATTAAAAACCCGTTTATGACGCAAGAAATTCAAATTTTAACAGTTCTTTCTATGCAGCATATCCCAGCACTAACAAAGATGGCAGAGAGGTTTAAGTCTCCTTGAAAATGCAACTTATAGCAAGACAGTTTCTTTCTTGCCTGGTAATCCTGTTCATCATTGGAGGTCTCTATGCCGACCATCCAAAGCGTTATGGTAGGTTGTATAATCGCGTTTAGTTAGCGTTTATTTAAGGCCTTGATTCCTTACTTTTTTTACTGGAGCGGAGGGAACGCTGATTTCAATTTCTTATAGGGGTAATAGGTGATATTCAGTGTCAGGAAAATTGTCTAAGTTTGTTCAGGTAACTCTTAGAGTAGGCTTTGAGTAAGAGCTATGAAGGGTTAAAACTTTAATATTTTCAACCTCATCTTAAGGTAATTCCTCTGAAATAAAAGTGACAATAGATTTTTGTTCAAACTTTGTCCACTGAATATTTGTCATATGATAACTTCAATTTTGAAATAA